GGAGGGGGATGAGGAGTTGGAGGCAGCACGCGCACCCGCACTAAGAGCCGCCAGCCGCGCCCGTCTCCGAGCATGAAACCCGAGCTCGGCTGGAGGGGGGGGAGGGCGGTAGCAGAAACAGCGCAGGACAGGGATGGGAGAGGTCACGCATCCGCCGCATTAGCGGCGGTGGTACGACAGTTCTCATGGCGGCGCGGCGGTCGCTGAGAAATGGAGCACGCGCGTGGGCCTGCGTGCGCTTAATTATGAGTGGCTCTCGTCCCCTCCCCTCCTCTTCCTCCATGAGATCTCTCCTGGTGCATATCCCCTGCCAGCGCTCGTCCTGCTCCTCTATCCGCCCCCCCTCGTCCGTTCCTGCCACCAGCCACATGGGGCGTTCTCAATCAACACCCCATTGAGTGTCCCAATGTGAAGGTTGCCCTTTGTCATGAGGGCGGACTCGCAAGAGCCGAGTGGCTGAAGAACTAGTAGTTTGGGGTCCGAACAGCTCCCCAGACGATTTGGTTGTGGAGTAGGTGGCCCCGCAGCAGCGGGGCTCGAATTAAGGGCGCGTTGCATTTCTGCAGGGGCGCGCGCGTCGGCCGCCGAGATCGGGAGCGCGCGCGCAGGCGCCGTGGCGCGATTTTCGTTTTGAAGTCTCCCCTCTCCTCCCTGTCCCCCCATCCCGCCGCCCTCAACGTCGGCCCCTCGCCGCCCGTTCCTCGTCGCTCCACGCCTGTTCGTTCTCCTCCAACTTCCTCTCCCGCTGCCTCGCTTTTCCTTCCCATTTTCCTTCCATCCCAGTCCATCCCTGACACCCCAGCGACGTTCGCAGTTAGAAGCTGGAAGTTCGGAGTTCGAAGATCGAAGTTTGAATTTCGAAGCTTCGCACTTCGAGGTTCGATCTTCGATCCTTCGTCATCTCGTCGTCGTAATCGTCGTCCTCGTTCGTCGTCGTCGTTCCTCGTCGGCGTCGATTGTCGTCGTCGTCGTCGCTCGTTGTCGTCCTCGCCGTCGTCGTCGTGGTCGGCGTCGTCGTCGTCGATCGTCGTCGTCGCTAGTCGTCGTCGCTGGTAGCCGTCGTGGTCATCGTCCTCGTCGTCGTCGTGGTCGTCGTTGCCCTCGTTGTCGCCGTCGCGGTCATCGTTCTCGTCGGCGTCGTCGTCGTCGTTGTCGCGAAACGCCCCACGTAGGAGGAGCAGAGAAGGGAGCAAGGAGAAATGAGCACGGTGGAGGGAGGAGGGAGGACTGAACAGGAAGAGGAGGGAGCAGGCAGAGGTAGAAGGGATGAGGTAGTTCAGAAGTGGGAGCAGCAGAGTGGCGCAAGGGGAAAAGTCATTTGAGCGCAGGGAGGGATGGCATTGCGATAAAGTGAATCCGCAGCCGTTGCAGGTCTGCCCCCCGCCGCGCCCGCCCGCCTCCGCGACGGGCGCGGCCCAGGGCATGGAGCAGCCTGGCGCGACTGGAGCCGCGCAGGAACCTCTGCCGAAGTCTCCGCAGCAGCGGGGGCTGCCAGAGGAGGCCCCTGATGCAGTTCCGCATGGAATGGCAGATCCAGCACCGGCCTCCGCAGCAGCGGGGGGGGAGGTTGCAGCGAAATTGCGGTCATTGTTTTCGTCGATGTCTGGTGCCCAGGAAAGCGTTTCGCAGAGCCTGCTGGTTGCTCAGGAATTGATGCAGAATGGCCTGATCGAAGATGCGCGGAAGTTAACGGCCGCCGCCGACCGCCTTGTAGTCATAACGGCTAAGGAGGCGGCTTGCGCAGCAGCGGGGGCATCCGTGGAGCCAGGCGCCGCCACAGTGGTAATCGAGCCTGGACAGGGTGGCTCCGATGACCCGAGACCGAGATCTCCCTGCACGACTAATTGGCGACAACGGCAGGCTCTGATCGCAGCGCGCAAACTGCGTGAAAGCTCCTCCGCAGCAGCGGGGGCCCGCGTGATCAAGACTCTCGCCTTGACCTCGAAGGCTCGGTCGCCAGCGCTTCCTGTCCAAGAGGGCTTCCCAGAGGAAGGCCGCCCGCACTTCCCATCGGAAGAGCGCGGCCCGAGCCATTCCAAGCCTCTTGTGCCCCTGCTGTACGACGACGAAGACCAGGTGCAGGAGGGGCAGACAGAGGCGCGCGTGAATCTGGCTTTTGCTTCCCTCGTCCTGCGCGCGGGCGCCTCCCTGTCGGATTGGGTCGCAGCTGTCAGGGACAGGCGCGAAGGGGTCGTCTTAGTCTCCTTCGAGCCTGGTGCACGCATCAATCGCGATCGGCGGAAGCAACATCTCGACGATCTCATCCGCCAAAGTGGCTTCCACGGGGAGGTCGCGCGCGAGTGCGTCGGGGCTCTCCTCTGGGTTCCCGAGCGCGTCGAGCAGTGCGAGGTGCTTCGCTGGCACTGCCACGGGAAGTTCCTGGTTCAGGCCTGGTCGGTGACCCTGGCAGCGGTGGCTCACAATCCGAAAGCAAAGGAAGGCAAACTCTCCATAGCAGTGGGGGGCGTGTTCTTCCGACACCAGACGAGCCTCGCGGGACACCCGTGGCCCGAAAACTTCCGCAACGGGCTGCGGAACCTGGTGTTGTGGAACCGAGTGCGTATTCTCGCTGGGATCTTTGACGCAGGCAGGGAGGATCTTTCGGAGCTGCTCAGAAGTTGCGGCGCGTCTGGTACAGGCGTACTCGGCTTGGCTTTGTGGTGTCCGACAAAAGGTTGTCACGTGACGCACCCGCACTACATCGTGATTCTTGGCCCCGCTCAGGTTCGCGAGTGCCCTGCGGGCGGGCAGCCTGATCTGCCGCACTGGTTGAATCAGGTTTCCCAGCCTCCGCAGCATTGGGGGCTCCTCACCAGCCTGCAGTACCGCCAGTTGGATTGGGTGGCGCGTCCGACCTGGGTCAGGCTCACGGACGCGGAGCGCAAGGAGCAGGATGCATATGACTGGCCGCACTTGCACAGGGTGATCCACAAGGCCCAGGATGCGAACCGCCTCACGGAACATTGCCACACATTGTTCGTTTTTATAGAAGCCAAGAACAGGAAGTCTGGCAAAGGCGCCGCGGCCAGGAAGAAGGATCGGAAGCGGGAAGCCAAGCGGGAAAAAACAGCGGGGAGAGTGGGCGGAGACAGAACCCGAAGCAACAGCCTCAGCAGCAGCGGAGGCGCACGGAGACCAGGAGGAGTCGGAGACAGAATCTGAAGCAGCAGCCTCCGCAGCAGCGGGGGCGCACGGAGCCCAGGAGGAGCTTGAGGGCGACGGGCGCGACGCCGTCGACCTCTGCAGCCCCACGCCGCCCCAGGACGAACAGAGCAACCCTGACAGAGGTGAGAGGGAGGAGAAGAAGGAGAAGGAGAAGATGAAGAAAAACAAGAATCCGTAGCCATTTTGGCTCAAGCCATTTTGGCTCAAGGCTCAAACCTGCCCCCTGGGGTTTGAACCTTGGTCGCTGCCGACGGGGGGGCTCGAGCTTCCCGAGGTCAGGACCTTGCACTGAACAGACGTGCGCCAAAGCACGCGTTTCCTCTTTCCCTCCACAACGGTTCGGATTACTCCAGTTGCTCCGATGCCCGCTGGCGTTAAGAAGTCCACCAAGTCAGAGGCCAGGTCCCAGTCTCGGCGGCCAGTGAGGAAGAAGGAGCCCAAGTCTGAAGATGATTCTCGGTCCCCTGAACGGTACTCAATGAGTCCTGCAGGCCGCCGTCGCCCAAGCACGGACTCCAGCGAGCGCTGCTCGGATCGTACACGCACCAGGAGCCGCCGCAGCGATTCAGATCATGAGGGCGGCACTGCCCCTGACAAAGCCCCCAGTTGGATGAAGCAGCTGATCGACGGCATTAAAACCTCGAACTACCGCATCGAGGTGATGGAGCAGAACTTCGCGCAGGAGGTGCAGATGCTTCAGAGCTCCATCTCGAACACGGATAAGAATGTCCAAACGCTCAATGTGAAGCTTCAGACCCTTGAGGCGTCCACGTCGGCCACCATCCAGGAGGCGGTTGCTGCAGCGGTGGACGTTAAGCTGAAGCGCATCGACGAAACTCTGTGTGAGCTCCAGAGTACGCCTACGCCACGGTCTACGCCTGCGGCTCGCCAAGCTGCTGCTGCTGGTCCACGCCCTGACGGTAAGCATGCAGCCATGGAGCGTGCCCACCGTGTGATAGTGGTCGGCTTCCCTCGGAAGATGATGCAGGCCTCGCTGAGGCGTGCCGCTGATCTGATTCTGGCCGCTGGCGTCCCTCAGTCTAGCCCACGCCCGACGGTGCGCACATACGACATGACCAAGAAGATCACTTTGGACTCCACGGACTCGACCAAGGCTACTGACTTCCTGAACATGCTCCAGGCTGGTGCGCCAGTCCAATTCCCCGACCCGGTCTACCCCCAGCAGATGATCACCCTCCGCGCCAAGAGGGACATGGCACCAGGCACGCGGCTTCTCTTCCTTGCCATGGGTAAGGTTCGTGGTGTGCTCGCTCCCATTATGCGTCAGGTTGGCAAGGAGATGGGGTCCAATGGTCTTGGCGGAGATGTGTATATCCTTCGTTCGGCTGAAGACCCAGTTCAGATCTGCCACATTGACCTTGTGAACAGTGAGTCTGAGCCGCCCCAGGTTGCTATCAACTTTTTCCCTGATCAGTTTGCGGAGTTTCATGCTATTATTGAGCCCCACCTCCAGCGTCTGCAGGAGGGGGTGGATCATTTGAATGCATCACAGCCCTTTTAGAGGGGAATGTGACGGGCCCCAGGCTACGGGTGCGGCCCCTGTGACACCTCCAGAAGAGTGTCCCCCTGCCGCGAGCCTGATCGTCGCTCCGTCTAGGCGCTTAATTACCTCTAGTCTTTTTGGCTGTTGGACTGAAGATGTGCCTCTGCTCCCCGTCGGTGCCCTCCCTGCCTGTGCCGCCTCGGCTGATCAAGCCTCTGTGTCCGTTTCCCTTGAATGTTCTGAGCATCGCGTCTCTGGCAGCGCTTCCCGAACACATCAGGGGATCCCTGTCTCTATGGTCAGGACCCGCCCTTTCTTCCCCCCCTCTGAGATGAAGATTGGATCTTGGAATACCGCTGCCCTCCTCGCCGCTGTTCGCACTAAAAGTATGAAGGCTGCCCCGCGCTTTGCGAAGTTTCTGAAGCTCGCGAACCAACTCTCGGTCTTTTGTACCCAGGAAACCCACGGACAGATTGCGGATATAAACGAGCTTCGGCGAGAACTTCGGCACTTTGAGATTGGCCACTCTCTGTTCCCTGACTCTGCTGCTACTGGTGGTGTTATCACGTGCATCCAGCCTGCGTTTGCGAAGCTCTTCTCTACTATTTCTCACTCCAGCGTCATCGATGGTCGTATCCTCAAGTCTTACCTCTCTGGGCCTCTCGGGAACCTATGTATCATCAATGCGCACATGCCGAACACTAATGAGCTCACATGTGTATATGCTAACGCTATACGATCCATCCTTCGTGCACTTCCCAGCCCCGCTGATTGTTTCACTATCTTGGTAGGTGACTGGAACTTTGCGCTCTCTTCTGATGGGAGACTTCGGGCGGATGGTAATGGGTGGTCTCCTGGAGATGATAACCATACTTCTCTATTTCATCGGCTTTGTGGCTCTTGGATTGAGTTTTACCAGTGTGAGGACACGAGGAGGGAGGTCAGGGACGGTGTCACGACCCACTCTTCTCGGCTAGACCGTATGTACAGTACGCTTCCCTCGGCTTTGATCACTGACCTCACGATTGTTTGCGAGGCGCGGGGGGCCCTGAAGGTGGATATGGTCTCGGACCACATCCCGATTGTCGTCACGATCAGCACCTTCCGACCTCAGGATGCTCCCAAACGTCTGGCTCCTTGGGTTGTTCGGCACCCTTTATTCGCTGAGCTTTTGAACGGCGCTATTGGTGCCCTTCCCTGTGGTGACCCGTGGACTCGTCTTGCAGAAACGAAATCTTTGGTGTTTGAAGTTGCTGAGGAGGTTAAACGTCTGGTCAACTTGAAACCTGCTGACGCTACTGAAGCTAAACACTTTCGTGCCCTGCAAGCCCTTCGCGCATGGCGTGCGGGTGACTCTTTCAAGCTTGCGGCGGCGGTTGCCGCGTACCCGGCACTCGCCGCTCACTTTCCTGCCGGCCTTCAGGATGCCAGATGCGAGGCCCTCTGCCAACACGTTCAGAGTCTCCATAATACTCTTCTGTCTGCTGAGGAGGAGTTTCTCAATCAGGACTCGGTTGAGGACACTAGGCCTAGTCATTGGCCTCAGCTCAGTCATGGGCTCGGACCTGTGCCCTCTGAGGGGGATGAGAATGCTCGGCGGAAGTTGGCGGCTCGGAAGGAACTCTGGCGGAAGATGAAAAGGCGTACGTGGCTCCAAGGGACCTTGTCGGCTTCAGGGGACATTAGCAAGACAGAAGAAGAGGCTGCCCAGGCCCTACAGGATCACTGGAGTATTATTTTTGCTGCTACTGAGGACGACGAGTCCCTCTGGCCCGAGCTGCTTAACTTTGTACCGAAGTTGCCAGAGGTCCCTGAGGAGATGGAGGAAGAGGACTTAATCGGGCACGGGTGGATGTCGTGTGAATTTGAGTGGCAACAGATGATACGGGGGAGGAAAGACAGCATGCCAGGGGAGGATGGGATCCCTTACTCGGCCTGGAGGGCCTGCGCTGCTGGTGAACTTCTCTACGAATGCTACCGAGCTTTCATCCGTGACCCTCGGGCTGGTCTTCCCGATGATATGAAACGGAGTCTCATGGTTTTCTTACCCAAAAAGATTACGGAGGCGGAGGTGGGGGAGGGTGTTTATCGTGAACCAGCTAATACACGTCCACTAAGCATGACAAATACGGATGCCAAGATTTTCTCGGCCTCGATGGCTATGATTCTCACGCGCAAGGTTGCGCGGCACTGTCTTCTCCAGCCTCCACAGAAATGTTTCCGTGGCCGCGACATGCTCGCGAATGTGATGGAGGCCGAAAGTTTCCTCCTTGAGTGCCACCTTCGTGATAGATATACGAGTGGGCTCGTCCTGACGGACTTCGAATCCGCCTTCCCCTCGATCAAGGTCTCCTGGGTCCTCCGCGTGCTGGCCTCCATGGGTGTCCCGTCTGCTGTCGTCTTGTTCTTCCAGGCTCTTTATCAAGATAATTCTGCGATTATCTATATCTTTGGGAGGATGTTTGGTTCTTTCTCGATTGGGAGAGGAGTTCGGCAAGGCGACCCGAGCTCGATGCTACTATTTATCCTGGCCGTTGAACCTGTGCTAGCGTGGGTGAGGGCTAAGCTTCCATCTCAGCTGACTTTGTCTCTCGCGTATGCCGATGATTTTTGTTTCGGCCTCCGCTGTATCTTCGACGGCATCGAGCCGCTGTTCAAGTGTTTGCAGTTGCTTCATGGCGCGATAGGTCTGGCTCTCAATTTCCCGAAGTGCCAGATTCTGCTGGCTTACGAGCGTCTCAGGGACCCTCTTCGTGATTTCCTGGTTGACATGGGGCCCCTCTATCAGCTGGTTGAAATTACTAAGTGTCTGAAGTACCTTGGTGTCTGGATTGGTCTTGGGGCTGAGGACGTGGCGTTCTCGGCATCCATTATTAAACTCAAAAAGCGGACGCGTGAGATTCGGGATCTGGGGCTTGGTTTGGCCCAATCCATTGTTCTATTCAAAGCGTTTTGTGTCTCTCTATTGGCTTTCCTTTTGCAGCTGCACCGCCCCACTCGTGATCTAGACAAAGCTTATCAATCCTGTGTCCGTCTCCTCTCTGCTGGCCCTAACAATGCGCTATCTTACGACATGTGTACGCACCTTTGTGTTTATGGGTTCCCTATTGAGTTCCCTCGGCTCTCGCTTGTGGCAGATGCTACTCGGGCGAGATACATTGCACGTTCTGGTGAGCTGCCTCGGATCCGTGGCCAAGTCGCTCGGATTTTTGAAGATGATGATTGGTGCCCATATCGGCAGCGGCGCGGCTGGTACGTGAATAGTTTCCTCACTCACTTGTTCACCTTCCAGGACGAAGTTGCATCCCACGGCTTCCAGATTTTGTATGAGCGTAAGGATGTACAGAAGCAGTATATGCGTGCGCTGAGGCGCTTTCACTGTCCCGCCGTCACCCCTCATGAAGCTCTCCTTCGGCGTGCCTGTGCTTGGATCCCTGAGGTCTCCCTTTCGGACATCGTCTGGGTTTGCAAAGTCTTCAAAGCCCTGGCCCGTCAGTCCAGTCCTTACATCCCGTTGGCCAACCTACGTATGCTCTCCAGGTGTGTTTGCACTAGTGCTCGATTTCACGCTTCCCCTCGAGGCTGTCTTCTTGGGTGCCCTAGTTCTCCGACGTCCCCGACCGACCTAGATGACATGCTCCACTACCTCGTGTGCCCCAGGCTCCAGCAGTTGTTCTCTCATTGGATGGGCACTTGGGCTCCCTGCTCTTCTGGGTCTCCTGAGGGTTCGCCCTGGCTCCACCTCTACCTCCTTTTTCGTGGGATGGGTCCTGACCAGCGTCTTTTAAGTTCTATGCTATGTGATGCCTTTCTCAGTATGCACTCTTCAGTTCGATATGGTCTTCCTGGCACTCCGCAGCAGCAATTTGAAGCCAGGCTCCGAATACAATCGAGGCGGCACCGTGCTTGTCGACGTGTGTGGCAGGCGCTTAACCTTGAACAATGGGGGGGAAGGGGCCTTTTTTTTTTTAAAAAAAAAAATGAAGAAAAACAAGAAGAATAAGAAGAATAACAAGAAGAAAGATATCAGGAGCAGAACCCCAAAGAGGAAGAAGCCCTCGCAGCAGCGGGGGGGCAGCCGTTCCACACGCAGAAAGCGGGAGCAGAGGAGCAAAGACCGAATGAGGAGAGTGCCCTCGCAGCAGCGGGGGCGCAGCCGCTCCAGACGCAGAGGGCAGGAGCAGAGGGGGCGCAGCCGCTCCAGACGCAGTGGGCAGGTGGAGGGCGGCGACCGCAGGGCGGCGTGGGCAGGGCGGTTCCTGCCCGCGCCGCCCGCGCACCCCCCCCACACAGGTCAGGTGATGCTGAGGCCGAGGGCATGGCGCCCGCTCCTCCCAGGCCAGATATGCCGTCCGCCAGGCATGCCGCCAATGATGCCACCACCACCGCCATCTCCCCCGCGTGGAGGAGGACGCCGCGGGGCCCCCCCGCTGGAGGAGACACCGCGCCCTACGCCGCCGCGGCTCGTCCCGAGCCAGCCGCCGCACCCTCCGCCGAAGCGGCTCCTGCCAAGAGAGTCGCAGACGCCCCGCCCTCTGGCAGCGCCGCTCGTCCCGAGGCCGCCGCCGCAGCCTCCCCCGCCGCAGCTCCTCTCCAGGGAGTCGCCGCTTCCTGCGGACACGTTTGCGTTCAACAGTGACGCGTTCGAGGCATTGTCGCGGCGCCGCAGCCCTTCAAGCGACTCCAGCTGACGGCGCGCGGCTGCGGAGACCTCCGCAGCAGCGGGGGTGGTCTCCGCAGGGGTGGTCTCCGCAGCAGCGGGGGTTAGCATAAGAGATCTGAGGCGCGGGCTCGGCGCGCGCGCGCGCGAGGAGGCAGGCGCTCGCATTGAGCGGCTGAAGAAATCGTGGTCGTTGTCGCCGTGCTCGTCGTCGTCGTTTGCTTTTTGCTGGGGGGGAAAGGAGGACGAGCAAGAGGAGGAGGAGGAGGAGGGGTCCTGCAGGGGCCAGGACCGACACCGGGACCGGGGGGGACCAGGGGGAGAGCGGGACCGGGACCGGGAGCGGGACAGGGACGGGGAGCCCTGGACGAGCAGCAGAACCGACCACGGGACCGGGACCGGGACCGGGGCCGGGACCGGGACCGGGACCGGGAACGGGGGTGCTGGTCCCGGTCCCGGTCCCGTGGTCGGTCCTGCTGCCCGTCCTGGGCTCCCCGCCCCTGTCCCGCTCCATGTGTCACCTCTTTGTCCCGCCCCCAATCTCTGCCGTGCCGTTTGGGTTCGAGATCGCCAGCCATGAAGGTTAGGAAGCCCGACACAAGGATCGGGCGATGCCGCGTCGGCGAGAAGAGGAATAGGAAACCCGACACAAGGACGGGACGATGCCGCGTCGGCGAGAAGAGGGGTTTTCGGAAACCGGACCACAGACCTCATTCGAGCAAGCGCGCTGGGGCGGCGGCTCGACCCACGGCAGCGTCGGCGGAGGCGGCCGCGCGGCCGCTAGCTCGGCGCAAGGCGAGCTCCAAGAAACAAACCCTCGCAGTAGCGGGGGCTGCTGTAGCCCTCGCAGCAGCGGGGGCTGCTGTCTTGGAGCGTGGTGGGTTGTGGGATGAGAAGACTGCTCGGAGGACAGGCGTGGAAGATGACGATGGGTTCGATCAGGCACTTTGGTACCGCGACCATTGGGGCAACTGGTACAAACTAGGGTCCAAGATGCCGCCAGTCGGCAGCTCCTGGCAAGAAGGCGCCGACCCCCTTCGCATGTAATTACGGGGCGGATGAACACGACAGTGCCCCCACATGGTTGATTGTACGGTCCTCAGGATGACCACGACATCCCGAGCGCACAAGGGGAACGCCCCTCCGCAGCAGCGGAGGGATGTCGCGAGAATTTCGCCGAGGGGGGGTGACCTCGGCGGAGGGGCGCACTCGCGCGCGCGCGGGGGAGCGCGGTTTCGCGCGTCGCGTGCGGCATCGCATGCGGTGTGGGGGAAAACACGACATCTGTGCTGTCACCTGTGTCCTGCTCTCTCCTTTGCTTCGCTTCCCCTTGCACTCCCTCCTGCAACCTCCCGCCCGTCATTATGTCTTTGTAGTGATCATCGCTTCCATACACGCAACTCTCACAGCGCCCCTTTCTCTCACAGATGCGTTCGGGGCGGGCAACCTTTCTCTCACACAGGGGGGGGCCGATGTATCAGTGCTTCTCCTGTTCAGGCGGATGTGCGCGTATCGAAAAACTGAGAAGGCCGCGTCGACCCGCCGTTCGTCGCTCTCTCTCTCTCTCTCTCTCTCTCTCTCTCTCATTGTCTCTCTCTCTCTCTCTCTCTGTCTCTCTCCCTCTATCTGCCTTTCCTCTCCTTCTCCTTTTGCTCAAGTGCGGGCAGGCCGCGGATCCGTGAGGCCCCTCCTTCTGTCCGCGCGCGCGACAGGCACTCGTGCTTTAAGCGGGGCCCCGCAGCAGCGGGGGCAACCGTCGCGGAGCATCTGTTTGGGAAGCTGCCCCCGCAGCAGCGGGGGCGCCTGGATAGATGTCCGAGGACATCAAGTCAGGTCCCCTGAATGATGCCGCCACGTTGCGCAGCCGCTATGCCTTGAAGGACTCCGAGGGCCAGCGGCTGAAGGCCAAAATTTCCTTGGAGGATATCTGCGTCCACCCGCAGAACAGAGGTGGGACGTACCCCTCCGCCGCCAGAGTTTTTAATCTCCTGTGTGGCATTCTGAAAGACAGGTTCCTCTTGAACGAGGCGCAGCACGAAGCAGTGGTTGTTCAGGAACCCCCTGCGGGGAAGAAGGCCGATTACGAGCGCCTCCATGGCAGGCCGTACACGGCGCACGCGGACCACAACTTGCAGAAAACGAAGTCCGTGGAGGCTCTACGCTCGGCGTAC